CGCCACGGCTAGGTCTCAGGTTCAGGCCGACGTGTCGTTGGTGAAAGAGAACGAGGCGCTGCGGTCCGAGCTGATGAGGATGAAGCTCTACATATCCGACATGAACAAGAATTCTCATGGAACGTCTTCCATGAAGGGTGGCTCCAAGAGCAAGGGCACGTTCTTCTCCTCTGTCTCCAAAACGCTGGGCAAACTCAACCCCTTCCGCCACGGCTCGAAGGACACTTCCAACTTGGACGACGGTGTCGACGTTACCAAGCCGAGGAGGAGAAGGTTCTCCATATCCTAACCAGTTCCGAATCAATTGCAACACGGATGGAAATCCGGTTTGTGCTTTATTTCTTTGATTTGTGTGAATATGGAATTATTCATTCATGTTGTTTGGTTTCTTTGAACCAAATTTGTTTGTTGTGTCGTTGATGTTTTGTTTTCCGCTGGCTGTATGTGTGTTGTGATCTGTGAAGAACCATACTAAATATAGCTATCAAAATTCTAAGTTTTTCATTCATCTTCTCCCTTTAGCTATGTCATGAACGTACTCTCATATTGCATTTGTGTTAAATATCTTTCCTGAGTTCGATTTTAGAAGTTGGCGTGGCTGTTTCTAGGTGAAATTCAAAATCGTTATATTGCATTACATAGGGCAACAAATTACGGGTATTAAAATAATCGGATAACCCAACAAAACCAACCCAAAGAATTGGCTTTAATTGCATTGCACACTTCATTCGAGTCTCTCGTAATGGAATCGAGCAATTGGAATTTTTGGATTGGTCTAAAAAAATTCCTATAATCAAACTCAATCCATATTTTACCGTTGAGCTATGTTCACTTTGACCTAAATGTAGACCTTCAATCATAATGTTAAGAATTCAACACATAATAATCCATATCAATCTATGTAGATTGCTTATTCATTTATCAATTTTGCTTTCTGAGAAATATTGCAGCAATGAAATAAGAAGAAAGAGAGAATAAATAACGTTTGAAGGTCTAGTTTATTTTTACTTTGGACACTGTGCCAACATCCGAGAGTGCATTTGAAGGTCTAGTTATTGTGGTGGTTCTTGGGATTGGTCCTTAATTGAAATATTAGTTTCATTTATCCTTTCTTAGTTATGATTGTTGCAAAGTGCTAATCACCTATCTAGGATCAAATTCATACTCTCTTAATTGGAAAATATATGTCAATTACTGTTCGTACAGTTTAAAATTTTACAATAGTCAATATTAATAATTGAAAATCGATAAATAAGGTAGGGTTATGTTATACATCAAATAAGATAAATTTCAACAATAGATTGGGCTTTTTTAATTTGGGCTTGGACAAGAAAATTCGCCTAAGGTTAAGTCCGAAATCTTTTAAATTTTCCTGAAATTTAAAATTTTGTTTCTATAGTTCGAATTCACACCTTAAAAAAAAAAACAAGTTGTTACCGTATTGAATACAACAATAAAAGTTAAATCGAGCATATAGCTCAAGTGGTTAAGACATCTATCCCTAACAACCAAATTCATCTGCGTCTCATACAAAACTTATCATTGAACCTTAAAAGTAACAATATATTATTACTCAATTAAGTACTAAACAATATTATTAATTTAGTTGTTACCTAAAAAATATTATTAATTAAAAAAATTAAATTGAAGTATACAATTCTTAATATACCAATTGAATCGTAAATTAAACAACAGACAAAGGGTAAATTAGTCAAATACATGTTAATTTGGTGGAAACTCAAGAAAATACACCAACTTTGGTGGGGAGGAAAAGAAAAAACAGTTCTAAAATGGCTAAAAAACGAGCATTAGAAGATGCCTTGGAATCTTAAAACGTGCATGGAAAAGAAACGTTGGAATCTAAATTCTTTAAAAAGGATTTTTTTTTAAATAATGCTTCTTCGAAACTAATTACAAATATATATATTAGCTCCCAACCTATTTTCAAAAATAATGTTTTGAAAATTGTAGGTCGTCTCTCGACCTATGCCACCTAAAGCTTCCCTAGTTGCATGGCGTCTCGCCATGTATTTTTTTTAATTCTGGTATGTTGTCTCTTCAAGAAATAACATATGCAAAATAATAATAGTGTTGATAATTTGCTACATTGGTTGTTCTCTTATTTTTTAATTTAGATGCCTTGGGTTCGAATCTCAATTATATCACTTTTTAAAATTAATTACTGTTAAAATTATATTATCAAAACAATTACTAATTATAAAAGGAAATTACAAATAAAAATATATTGCAATTAAGTAATTGAAATGAATTATGTTAATGTAGTAATTATAATTTAAAAGTAAAAATAATTAATTACATTTTTTTATAATAGTAATTATTGTTGTCTATTTTTAGAATCCGTTGTTATTTTATTTTAGAAGAGAATATAAATTTTAATAGGTAACATTTATTTAAATGAGAAAATAATTTGCAATATAAAAATGAAAAGTGACATAATTAAGACTAGAATAAAAAGTGAGAGAACAACCACTATAGTATAGTAGAGTATCAACATTGTTATTATTTTTGCATATGTCGTCTCTTGAAGAGACGTCATGCCAGAATAAAAAAAAAAAAAAACACATGGCGTCAGCGAGGCGCCATGCAACTAGGGAAGCGTGAGGTGACATAGATCGTCTCTTAAAAGAGACCTACAATTGCATTATTTTTGGAAATAGTTTGGGAGTTAACATATATTTGTAATAAGTTTCCAAGGGAGCATTATTAAAAAAAAAAATCAATCTTAAAATGTGCATGAAAAAAAATATAGGGTCAATTACAAATAGTACAAAAACATTTAGCAAAATTATCAAAATAGCAGTCATATTTAATTTTCTTAAATATAGCACTTTTTTTTAAATGAAGTTCCAATTTTAAAATGACAATTTTACCTAGATGATATATATACATATATAATATATCTGATATATTGATATGAGTGTCTGTATAATATGTATGCATATAAGATGAGTATCTGATATACTCCTGACATGAGTGTCAATGGCGGATTCAAAAATTTTGTTGAATGGGGGCTTCATACTAATTTTAATTTTCAAGTAAGTAATTCACGAATTTATAAATGTATAATTTTGAGGTTTGTAAGATTATTTTTGTAAATATGCCCTATCAATTTTCTTTTATTATATCTCTCCATTTAGATTATAAAAGTGTTAATAAAAAGTTAAACATAAATAAGAATGATATTAATAATATGTATAAAAGCAATTGATCAAACATKACAATTTTATATTATAGTCAAAGTTTTTATCAACTATTATAATTTAAAATAACATCAAATAGTTAAATTCATAGTCTATGTGATGTAAAGTTAATAAAAATGTACTTTAAATAAGTATTTCTTAAATTGTCGACTTCTTTAAACTTCTTTGGATTCTTCAAAATTAAAACTAAAAATTATATAAAATAAGAACAACTGAATATGAATATTTAAAAAATGATGATTTAAAGAGAAGAAAAAAATATCAATACAATAATTTATAGAAAAACTATTAATAATATGTAATTACAATATATAAATTAAAAATAAAAATAAATTTAGAAATTGTTGGCAACAGTTAGATCATAAATATGACAAATAATGTATAAATTAAAAAGAAATTTAATGAGTAGAAGAGTAGATGGTAACTACCAGATTTAAAATTAGAATTTAAATGTCTTACTTACTTATATTTTCTCTTCCTTTATCTTTATTAAAAATTCACTTTTTTTTTCGAAAATTTGCAATCTTTTATCTCTTTATTTTCAATTTTTTTAATTATTATGATTTTCTTTTCCTTATTTAAAAATAAAATTGACAAATTTTTTTCCAAATAAAAATGGAACAAATTGAATAGAACAAATTAGAACAAATTACAATGAAATGAAATAAAAATGTTCTGGGTTCGAACACAGGTGCTAGGACCGGAGCATGAGAAAACCTAAATAAAAAAATAAAAACAAAAAAGTGAAAAACGGCCAAGGGGATTCGAACACGGGCGCGCGAGGGGGGACTGAACACACAGTTACCACTGAGCAAAAGAAGAAATAAATGAATTACATTACATTTTGGTATACTAATTTAATATGTTAAGAAGTTCGGGGGACTAAGCCCCCCTCGGCCCAAGGTGCATCCGCCCCGATGAATGTTTAATATGCTATATAAATAAAATCTACGCTCCATTTAGAAATTTTTAAAAATAGATAGTATTTTTGCCATCCACCGCCACCTCTGGGTTAAATAACCATTACATAGCTCACTTTAATAAAAATATAATGACAAGTAATAATAAAACTTTTGAATTAATTTCACATGTCCGTATTTTAAATAGATAATATTTTTAATTGAAGGAAAATATTAGAATATTATTTATCATCATTATAACATTCCTAAGAAGTGCCTACAATCACACCAATCAAATAACATTCAGACTTCAGAATCTCAGACCCGTGCTTTATTTACCAATCTCACACGGCTCTATTTCCAAATTTCCTCCGCAATTTTATTTAATTTTTTATTTTACAACCAAAAAAAAATTATGTATCAAGTATCTAACAAAAAGAAAAATCCAAAAAAAAAAAAAAAATTAAAATATACATTGTGACATAGCCACGTGAAGATGGCACCAACCAACAAAGAACTCTGGATCTATTGTTTCAATGCCCACCGCGACCGCCCAAACCTCGCCGCCTCAGCCTCCGCCGCCGCCGCCATCGCCGGAGACGGATCTGTTCTCGAAGTTAGCTGATGATCATGAGAGGGGATTTCGATTGCCTTCCTCTGGTCAGGCTTCTTGGGCGGCGTCCGGGGAGTCGAGAGGGAAGCACGTGTCCTCGCCGCCGGTGTTCCACAGAAAATGGGCGTAGTTGGCGGCGTAGTAGGAGTTGCCGGGATCGGCGGACATGGCTTCCAGATAAGTCTCCTCCGCCGCCCACAAATCGTTCCTCACCCGCCACAAGAACCCTGCGTATTTGTCGAAAGCCTCCGCCTCCGGCGGATCCACCGCCACCGCCCGCTTGAAGTACTCCTCCGCTCTGTTCAAATCAAAACTTTAAACTAAGAAACACTTTTTCTTTTTCTTTTTTTAATTTTTCTTAAATTCGAACATAAATACCTAAATATCTCCAAAAATAAATAAAAATCAAGTCAACTTGCAAGCTCTAGTGGACCACCGGCGACTATGAAATGATAACGACGGAGAAATCGATTTTCTTAAAGGAAGCGCGTGGACTCACGAGCAAAAAGATGGTGACAAATCCAAACGATTTTTGTTTTCTAGAACTCGAAACAGAGCCACATAAGTTGCGACTGCGATCGGGAGTTTTCAAAAACAACGATTCTTGATCGGATTAAAATCTAGAGGAAGTAAAATTTGATTTGACTGTGGTAAATTATTTTAGATCAGAAAAGGAAAGTGATGTTTGAAACAGAAATGGAATGAGGGAGAGAAAATGGACCTGTCGTAATCGTGGGCGACGATGTAGAGAAATTGAGCGTAGTTGGTGAGGAGGAGCGGATTGTTAGGTTCTTGGAGAAGACTGGTTTGATAAAGAAGCTCTGTTCTTAAATACTCTGTGTGATCGTCCGATTCGATCTTCGCCGTCACCGGTGAGATCAGATTCTGCATCGTCTCGTGATCCAGAACTTCGTCACGCCATTGCCGCATCTTCGAAGCTTCTTCCACCACCGAATTCCATAAACCGACCTCCTCCTCTTCTCTGTTCGACACCGACTCTGCCTCCGTCGTAGTTCCAAATGAAGAAACCTGAGAGGCGGCATCGGGGAGGACCGTTCCGTATTGATCGGAGCGATCGAACTGTCCGTCGTCGTCGACTCCGCCGGCGATCGGCCGTACGTTTCCCCCACCGCCATTATTCCCGCCGATCGATGTCGTTTTACCACTCGATGAGGAGACGGAGAATGTTTTGATGGAGGAGGAATCAAACTTGGAGTGGTGTTGGTCGTGAAATTCGACGACGGAAACCATGGCGGCCAGCGGCGGCGAAGTAGAAGCAATAGCGGCGTTGTTCCCCATGGAGTAGACTGTGAAATTTGCCAACAGGATCATAACCGAGACCATAAATGTTGGAGTGTGGGAGAAAACTTGCTGAAACAGCCAAACGAACGAAGCGTGGATCTCTTTCTGGACACGGATGAGAATACTCTGTAGATCTTCGAAGTAAAGAATCTCCCGCAGGCGCAGAGTGTAGCTGTGAAGCTCGCGAATCATAAACACGACGGAGGAGAATGCCTTTTTGACGGAACAATCAGCAGAATCCCCCGATTCTCTAATATCGTCTTCCCATTGTAACTTCTTCTTTATCATTCTAAGTGAAACTGGAAGATCGAAGCTGTTCGCCCTCCGCTCAATACTCGCCGTAACTAGCTCGTCGGGCGCCGGCCAATCTGGCGGTTCGTGACCTGCTTCCAGCCACGAAGGCTCTACAAACTCCAATACGGAATCTGAATCTGCACAAGTGGCGCTACTGCTACCGTCAGTTCCGCCTTCATCGCCCGAATGTTGGAATCTGAGCGCCAGTTCCTGAATCTTCTTGGAAAATTCCTCGTCCGAGAAGGCATCCATGCTCGCGCTGCAAGTTCTCTTGATTCCGCGATTCGCCGGCTTCAGAATCTCGCAAGATCGCGAGCGATGGAGATTCGTCGATGAAGAACCGAACAGAGTCGATTGCTCCAACCTGTGAACGCACCGCCACACCAGAGATCCTCCATCCGCATAGTTCCGTCGTTTCGAAGACGGAGACAGTACGGTGGAGGCTAGGGTTTGGGGAGAAGAAGGACAATGAGGAATAAACGGCTGCGACCAATGGAAACAAGTCGTAGCTACCTTTACTTCCATAATCTTCAAGAAAAGCAGCGAGAACAAGAAGCCGAACAGAGGATTTAGGGATAGAACGACGAAATTCGAAGCTTAGCCGCGAAGGCTGAATCGAATACGAATCAAAGATTGGGGAAAACCTTGGAATATCTGAGAATTTCACCTCCACGAATCCGCAACTTCGCAAATTTTTTACTCAGATCCAGATAGAAAGAAACCTTAAAGCCTGAAAAAGGAAAAAGGAAAAAAGGTAAACACCAGTAAGTCAAAAGAAATCCTAACGTTTCCACCAAAATCTCCGGAAAACTCAAAAGTCCAAACAGACTCCATTAACAACTACAAACGAAACGCCATAGGAAGGTAGAGAGATATAAGCATTTGAAGTTTTCCAGGAAAATCGGATCACTGAATAAACGCGCAAAAGTCGATGGAAAATTGGATCCAACGCAAGAACTCGAAAATTCATTCGCAAATCAAATTCTTCTCGGAGAAACGCAACTTACTTGGATTCGGCCGCTCATCGGAAAACGTTCCGATTGAAGAACGAGAAAAATCTGTCCAAATTAAGAGAATAAAGAAAGAAAAAAAAATTTGTAAGCAAAATTAGAACCGCAGCTTCGTGCTTCGCTTTATCAGCAGAGAGAGGACGATTGGGGTGGGTTTTAAATGTACCAAAAATTTCTGAGACTGCTCGAAATTAAAAAAAGAAATTAATAAATAATTGATTTTTTTTAAGGAATAAATAAATAATTGATTAAAATCTTAGAACAAGATCAAATCATGGGAACATGTACAAAATATCAAGGCCGTACAGAGAGTGGGAACCGGGAGAGGCGGTAACCGGTAGCTTCACGTGGAGTAATAGTAAAAGGAGTTGGGTTAATTAAAAAGTAATTTACTAAGATTTTTTTTTTAATGGTGGGGTCCGATCCGGTCCGGTCCGGGTCACTGGTGACGTCGTTAACAGTTAACATTACAAGAAATAATTTTTTCGACCCGCTCAGCTTCATTTCGTCGGATGAAGATTCGAACGCACGATCTTTAATCAGAAATAAGTGTTTTAATTAACTAATTAAGCTATATTCAAGATGTCTATTAGATTTAGTAGTTAAACTTTCAAATTTGTTTCATTTTTTGTCTCGAACCTGTTAAAATACCGTGGTTTTCTAATCAGGTCATATGACTATCCCCAACCATTCTATCGAGATGTAAATTGTAATACATGTCCATGTATACATGTTTAACAATATACATTTCGGAAGTTAAACGACAAGAATGAAATAAGCTTAAAAGTACATGGATATAAAAATTACCTTTTTAGATTTTATAGAATTTGTGTTCGTTCATGCTCACTACGACAACTACTTGTCGAATCATGATCTTGATACTCATTGGGCATTAGTTGACCAACACGATTACGAAATCGTCTTAAGTAGTTATAGGATAGCAACACCCATCTATTCACTCTAATATTCATTTACTTCTTGCCATAATTTTTCTTGACTTGTTGGAGCATTTAGTCAACACTACATTGATACTTCTTAAAGTTCTCTATCTTTTCTCTCCATGTTTTGTATGTTATTGGACGTTATAGTACGCCTCTATTCTGTATGTCTAAGCATCTTTTAAATTTGAAGGGTCGGTCGTCCATTCTCTCATTATTAAACTCAAAAAGTAAAGAGGAAAGAACTCAACTCCCCAAGAACTAGCGAGGAAGGCATGTGTTTCTAGAGTATCTTAGTATAGTTTGTTTTTGCGCTTAATCCT